ATCAGGGCTACCAGGAGCAAGATAGACACGGGTCCAATGCACAGCAGTGCAACCAGGGCTTTGAAATCATCCCTCTGCCCAGTGGAGGACCAGGTGTCCCTGAGCATTGTGGTTTGCTCTGTGTCCTTCAGCAGCAGGACAAAAAAGTAACTGGAGAGCTGAACTGATGGGCATAAGGACTGCTGGAGGAAGCCTAGGTGTTACCCAGGGACGTGTTGCTTCACCACCATCAGTTTTAGGAGACTTCAGCTGCGTCACTGCTCAATATACAGGAGCCATGTTCCTGAGAAGGAACTGGAGGGAGAAGCCCCTGAGCTTCTTCTGGCTGGGCTGGAGCGTGGAGTCACAGCTGGGATCACTTGCAATTGCAAGGTGAATTTGACCTGCAGCTGATCCTTCCTTGAAGCCCAATGTGTCTTCCTCTCCAACGCGAGGCCAGCTCTACAGAGTTACAGCCCATTTCAGAAGCTCAGCTGCTAAATTGATCACATTAAATCAGAGAAATTTTCTCATGAGGAAACGCACTGACTTGGGTTCACACCTCCTCATATAATGTTGTCTCAAAACAAGCACTTTGAACTCGGTTTATAGCTTTGCACACTGGGGTATTATTAAATCTTTTTTAGAAGCTGAACCATTGTGGAGAGTGGAGAAAATTGCATTTGGATGTATCCTGTAAGTGTGGACTGATGTTAGATATGAAGTGCCTGAGTTCAAGGCTGGGAGATAACAGCTTTGCAAAGGCACAGCTGGCTTGGGTTCTTCCCTGTGATAATGTTCCCTGCAACACTAAGGGTAAGTAAGCAAATGAGAACGTGGGGTTAACTGGAGCAAATCCACTGTAACGCAGCTGCAGTTGGATAAGTATCACTTTGTTTACCTCATACTAATGAAGAGGACTTAACCAAAACAGTCAAATCAGTGTCTGGTTTAAAACATTTTGGTCCCAGCCAACACCTAGATGTTGGGAGGTGTATTTCTGATACACAGACTCCCCAGAGGAGAAGAAAGCTGACAAAAGGAACAAGTGGTGTGGAAGGGACAAAATAGAGGAAAGAGCTAGAAAGGGTCAAGTCTAAAGTGAAGTCTTGGGAAAAATAAATTTTCCTGGGCAGCAAAATTGCCGAGGAGGTACCTGGTAAATTTATGATGCCTTCATGGCTGCACAGCCCCATGGCTGTTGAGTGTTAGATTGCTCTGTTAGACAGAGATGTAAATTCTGCCTAAGCCCTCCAGTAGTTTCTTGTGATGGTGTCCTGGACTTTGCCCCTGAACTCAAAAAGAAAAAAAAAAAAAAGAAAAAAAAAAGGAAAAATAATCGTGTTGCTTAGTCAAGAACATGTGATCCTTGTAACAAGGGTGGAGCAGCAATGTGAAGTGAAGGAGAGAGTCAGCACCCACCAGTCCCTGTGCCACCTGGTGTAGTCCTCTGTGACACATGTTGAGTCATAACTCTGCCCCAATGGGAGGATATCCCCCTGTGGGGCCTGCAGCTCTCCGGCTGCCCCATTGGAGCTGGGCACAGCTTTGTTGCCTACCCTGGGCAACACTATGACCCATATATATGACCCTAGAGTGCCATCTCAGGAGGACTGTTCAGTGGTTGGGGTATAGCAGGCAGGCAAGACCATCTCCCCACAGCATGGTTTCTCATTCCAGCAGAGATCAGAGGGACGAAGATCCTTTTTACTACCTGTTCACGTCAGAGATCGATCTGAGCTAGGTTCCCAAATTCACATACATTTGAACTTCAACCTAAATGAGGCTGTGTGGTCAGGGACCAAACCCAGAGGGCTAATGTTCAGTTCCTTGAATCAGGGAAGAAGAGAGATGGGCCTGGATAAAAGCGCATGTGTGTGCAAAAGAGAAAGAATCATTGATGCAGGCAGAAGCTGTGTTGTGCACCTCTGGGTTCGCCTCTGTTTCCAGCCCCAGCATACGCAGAAAAGCTGTTCCTGGCTTTCCAAATCAGGCAGGCACAGTCAGTGTATTCATGGACCTGAATCAAGTTACTGTGTAAAGGACGGTCCAGCTGAACATCAGGAGAGTCAGGCTCCTTCTGCCGAGTACTTTGATACGAGAGGTGAGGGATCTCTAACAAGCTATGTTGACATATAACATGTATAAGTGATGTATGACATATAAAATACATATTAGGCTGCTGGTTGCAATCTAATGTGCACAGATTTGTAATGAAATATGTGCGTGACTGTTCATGGGATTGACATTTTTGCAAGTGTGGAAAGGTGGAGCACACATTGCTACACAAGGCTACTCCTGGTAATCAGAGCTGTTAGGGAAAGAATGTGAAAAGGAATTAGTGTTGATGGGAGAAATGTGGATTTTGATAAGGGAAGCACCATCACTCATTCCTAATGAGAATCAAATGTATTACTGGTTGTGTGTAAATTTAAAAGGCTCTCTGGTATGATAATCACAAAGCAATGGCAGCCAGACCTTGGGTCTGAAGCAGCTGGAAGAATCACAAAATTATTCGGGTTGGAGGGACTTTAAAGCCCACCCAGTGTCACCCCCTGCCATGAGCAGGGACACCTCCCATCAGCCCAGGCTGCCCAAAGCCCCATCCAGCCTGGCCTTGAGCACCTCCAGGGATGGGGCATCCACAGCTTCTCTGAGCAGCCTGTGCCAGGGCCTCACCACCCTCAGAGTAAAGAATGTCTTCCAAATACCTAACCTAAGTCTGCCCTTTTTAAATTTAAAGCTATTCCCCCACGTTCTGTCACTACACCCCCTGACAAAGAGTCCCTCCCCAGCTTTCCTGCAGGCCCCCTTAGGCACTGGCAGGCTGCTGTAAGGTCTACCTGCAGCCTTCTCTTCTCCAGGCTGAGCAGCCTCAGCCTGTCTTCATAGGAGAGGGGCTCCAGCCATTTGTAGCCCTCCTCTGGACTCTTTCCAATACTCCAATGATGGACTGAGGCTGCAGCCCCTCCTTGGTAGCTTGCTGCCCACACATTGGGGCTCCACGTTAAGTGATCTGCCTCCAACACGCGGGGAGGGCATCAGTGCTCAGCCAGGGACATGCTGCTGACATCCTGGCTTTGGGGCTCTTTCCCACCATTCACCTGATGAAACACCACATGCCCCTTTAAAGAGAGCCTATTCAACTTTGAAAAAAAAAGAATTAGAGAGAAAAAAAAAAGGAGGGTGTAAACTGGATGTCCTCCACTTATACTCAAATTCTCTGATCAAATAACACAGTGCTCAGCAATAGACTCGCTGTTTGTCTGTGATATCCCAAACTTAATTTAGCTACTATTAGGTTGTAAGTTTTAAGGTAGACCACTGAGGTAGAGTCAGGATAGGCAAAGCAGCCCCTGGAGGTAATCAGTCAAAAATACGTCTAACAAACAACAAACTCATGGCATGGATTTCGAAACAATGAGATAAAACAGAGATGGTGTGACAGTGTTTGTTCTCTTTCTGTTTCCTGAGCCTTCAGGGTTCATGTCTTCTCTCCAGCCAGCAGAGTCTGAAATACAACTTTTAAAAGTGGAGGTGCTCCTGTAATTTCTTGACACTTTTAAATGCATGTATAAATGTGATTTCTTAATTAACTATGAGCAGTTGGATGAAGATGTATCAGGAGAAAGCTTTTCAAATCATATTTATAAACAAATTGCTAATCTCTTCAAATCCATAATTACCCATCACAGCTGATGAGCACTGCAAATATCTTCTAAGACACAGTTAACCCCTTATAGCTGTTCAAAATGTGAGTTGTTACACCTTTGTAACTGGTGTTATAGGGAACTTTTGTATGAAGTTTGTACTCTGTGAACTGGGATTTAAGACGAAAGCAAATATTGCAAAACTGATAAAATCTGGAGAACTGGCAGAAGCATACTGGCACGGAGAGCCAAGTGTGAGACACCCAGTACACTCCTGGAGGCTTGTTCCTTAACATGAACAGAAAGCTGAAAGCACTGTTTGGCTGCCTCAAGTGCTAACCGTGCCCATGGTTTTGTCTCTCAGCACTTCCTTTCCTACCTTGCACATCTCCAAAATATGCCGAATAAGCTGTGGATACCACCACTTCTGCTGCTGGTGGGGAGCTCAAGGGGTGGGGAGATGGCTGTATCCAACACAGCTCCTCCACATGTAGGCTGTGCTTGGGGCAGTCCGGCACAAGCCCCATTCATGCCCCATCGCCTCCAGAAGGTCCAGCAGGAAAGTGCATGATTATCTATTTCATGCTCATGGGCAGACGTCAAACTTCTGGTGCATGATGAAACCATGGTGCTGAGCACTTTTCAGGGCACAGCTTGAAGTTTTCAACCCCAGCTTCCCTGAAGGAGCCACAGGTCAGCCTGGTGCCACATATCTCCCAGCCCTGTGCCCTGCTGCATAAGGAGAGATGTCAGCCACAGGAGAGCTGCTACCCAAGGTAACGTCTGGCCCACTGCTTGGGGGAGAAAGCTGGGGGCTGGCAGAGCCAGCTGGTGCCCTGCTGCCCAGGGCTCATTGTTTCACAGTGTTTGGTAGCCCCAGCCTTCTCTGAACAGCAGTCATACAACTGCCAGGCTTCTATCTGGGGGGCATGCTAGGTAAATGCAGTTATTGTAGAATCACAGAATGGCTTGGGTTAGAAGGGACCTCAAAGACCACCCAGTTCCAACCCCCTGCCATGGGCAGGGACACTTCCCACCCGACCAGGTTGCCCAAAGCTCCATCCAGCCTGGCCTTGAACACCTCCAGGGATGGGGCGTCCAACAATGGCAACATCCTCTCTTTACAATTTTATATTATCATTACTAAATAGAGGACAAAAACCTCATCCTAACTAATTTGAATTTTTTACTTACATGATGACTGTGAAAAGGGTGGGTGCAGATATTCCTGGGTTCCTCCCTCAATGCCCCTTGGCAGAGACCATGTTTGTCTCCATCAGTTCAGGATGGATATTTGGAAGATACCAATCTCCCTGTTTTGCCTAACCTGGGATCTGAGCACCCTTTCTGCAGAAACAATTTTTCAGGAGCTTTTTCATGGCTCACACTGGTCACACTTGCTTGTGCAATATGGTATTTGAAGTCACTTCAAAACAGCCCCTGAAATGTGCTGCTGTATATTTAAGAAGCCTGACACAAAGGCTTCAGGAACAGACTGGAAGAAACCAATGGCACCCTCTGATGTGGATATTTCTTGCAGATATATTCCTTGATCTTCCTATTTGGACATGTGGTAATGAAGTAAAAAAGTCAGCAGAGTCTACCTCCACTATCTCATTCTTAAGACTTTTGAGAGTAAAATAAGGGAGCATTTCAAGAGATTCCTGCTGCATCCACCAGCTAATCCCTGGCCTTGAGTGTGCTGTGAAGCGCATTACAGTGTGTCCAAATAATGAGAATTACTGCTGGCAATGAAAGGAGGAGCTTAGCATCAAGGACAACATCCAGCCTTATCATGTTCCCATGCAGTCTGTTGAAGATAACAAAAAGAGATTGCTCCAACCAACAATTTTTGTGCATCTCTAGTGTTTAATAGTCTCAAAAATGATCCCAAAGGCTCTTGGATGGCAAAGACCTTTGCATACAGTAAATATTTTAATAGCTCATTCTCCAGATTTGTTCCTGGCAGAAAATACTTACATTTTTTTCCTAAGTTTGTTTTGAACCTGACTGTATTTATTTTGGGATGAGGAGGCCTGCTAGATGCTTTTTTCCATTCCTGAGACTGGACTCTGATGAAGCTGATGAAACACTAGAAGTGGTAGCACTTTGTTCATCTTCTGGTTTGTCTCCTGCACTAGGCTGAGCTGAAAGTTGAGTACAGGCTTTACCTTAAGCCTTCCAGGTGGCAACCAACACGTGGAGTCCCTGGTCTCTCAAATTAAGCCCGCAGCCTTTCCCAGGGACATGGTGGCATCCCCAGCACTGCACAGCTCAGCGCTCAACAGCAGCAGGAAGAAAGGCAAGATCTCTGCAGTGCTGCAGCACACAGCATTTCTTCCATGAGGCGCATGAGGTTTTGTGGTTCAGAAACATTTTCAGGACCTGGTTTTCTATTCCCTGGAGTTTCTACTCGCAAATCAGACAGTCATATGCCGAACTGCTTGGAGAAAAGAAGCTGAAGCCTTAATTTTAGAGTGAAAAATGTATTTCCGGATAGAGTCCGTAGATTCACGTCTAATTCCATGTTGTGTATTAACACACACAAACTGGTGGCACAGCTTGCTTTGTGGAGACAATGCAAGGCAGAAGTGAGCTGCCGTTGAAGCCAAAGTACTGCTTCTGCGGGCCACGAGGGAATCGGGATCATCTTCAGGAATGGAGGCGAATGAAGTCCTTGGCCAGGTTTCTAGTGCAGCTATTTCATTCCCACGATGTTTCTCTTGGGGCTGCCTCTCCTAAGGGAAAACTCCTACTGCTGCCTGCCTCCTGTTTCACAAAATGAGGGGGTATTTTTCAGCCAGCTCAAGCCTCTGAGCAGGTTTACCGTAAGGCTGTGCTAGCAGAGCAGAAGCAATGGCCCAGGGGCTGGCTGAAGCAAGGGAAGGGCAGGAGCTGGGCAGTGCATGCTCAGAGGAAAGCCCAGGGTGCCACAGCTGCACAGCACAAGCTGGTTTCTGCAGGAAACTAATGCTTCCCCCCTGCACCTGTGAAGAAGTTCAGCAGAAGTTCAGCAGAAGTTCCAAGCTGACCATCAGACAAAATCTTTACTTTCTCAAATTTGTAAGTAATGATTCTTAAACTCTTGAGATTGGTGACATTGGTTTTTGTATGCCTTTCACTCATAGCTTTCCAACCTTTAGTTAAATGACGGTTCCTTCTGAAGGGACACCATTTGCAGAGCTGGGTAAATTCACAGCAAAATGACTGTGGGTGAGTGAAGGGCGGTGTGTTCGCCATAAGCAAACAGAACCAGGACAACCCACTGCTGGGCAGACCTTGCCCTGAAGGCTGTGGGGTCCATCCCCACCACAGCTTCACTGCTAAGCCCTATTCCCTGGTGGCACAGCACAGCGCAGCAGGAAGCACTCACTGCGCACCAGCCCTCTGGGGATTTCCCTGGCTGTCCCTGAGCGTGTCTTGTCAGCATTATCTGGGAGTTCAGGACTCAGGGTGAAGCTCTGTCTCCTTGTTTCCTTCTCCTTTCTTGATGCCCTATGCCCTAGATTTACATTTACAGCTTGATAATTCCAGGCAAATTTCCCTGGTCAGGATGCAGTGGTGGATGGCCATGCACTTTGATACCTGAGATAAGAGCTTCCACTGTTGGCTGACTTCCATACATGTAAGATTTTAAATACTCCTTCTGTCTGTAGGGAGTGCTGACATTGCTTTAAACAGGATATGTGACCGCATCCTAAGCCTAGGTGCTGGCCCACAGCCACTGGAGGGTTTTGAGAGGGTCTTTATCATAGTGGGATGGGGCTGAGCCTCCACACAGGCTTGGTGCAGAGCCCACATTCAGCTGGACTCCAAAATCCATCCTCTGTCTAAGCCATCAATGGTTGCTGATGGTTGTAAGCAAATGCAGTGGTGTAGTGGGCCTAGAACATGGAGGTATTTTGGTAAAAAGAGGGTCTCCAACGATGATGGGAAAGAAAACAGAGTGGATGTGAAGCAGGGGCACAGTCACACAGTGGAACTCAGCACATCAGTGCCCAGGTGCGTGCATGCACACAGAGCAAAGGATGTACATGGAGCTGGGCTTGGGGAGATGCCCCCTCCCTTCACATCTCAAGGCCACAATATCAGCATGGAGTGTTTTGGGTTTGGTGGGTCAGCAGTGGCTGTAGGGCTGTGGGTGGTGGAGGGGGCTCCTTCTGTCCCTCTGTAATTGTGGCCATCAGCCCTATGACACTGGTTGTGGGGGAGGCTGAGCACACAGCAAGGGGACCATCGTGGTGGGGACTGAGCTCCAGGCACAAGGAGAAGCATGGGGCTGGCCTCAGCCATCACCTCCTCTCATGTCCTTTGGCTGATTTCTGGACCTTTGTGTGTCGTGCAGGAGCTGGCAGGGTTTGGGTCTGAAGCTTCCCCACTTGGGAGGGCGATGAGATGCCAAGGAGGATAATTGTGCTGGAGGGAGGGATTTAGCGCACCCCAGTGCCTCCCAGTGCCGCATTAGTCACGAAGGTCGCAGCTATTAACGGACAGAGCCCTGGTGTGTGCCAAGCTGCTCACGTTCCCAGCTTCCTGTTTCCACCCACTAATTTGCACCGGAAGGGAAGTATTTGAGTGTCAGACATTTTCTCTGGGACACGAAGGTCTCAAGGCTGAGCAGAATGCTTCTCCCACCCACTGGTTAATGGGAATGAGGAGAGGAGGGGGAAAAACTACCACAAGGCTTTGCCTTTATAAACTATCTACTTAAACTCCCCAAGGGGGCTGAAGAGCAAGAACTGAAGTGAGAAGCACCCAGAGGAATGCTTCTCCTACTGTCCTTGTGTGTATAAGGAGAGCGCTGGCAGACCCAGCTACACACAAGCTTTCTAACAAGATCTCCTCAAATGACACTCTGAGCATCCACATACAAGCCAGAATTGCCTGAGCAGTGGAAATGAAATGGGAAAACCTGATTCCTGCGAGGGAGCACGTCCATGGGGCGAAGGCTTGGGCTGCTGCTCCAGGAGTGCTTGGCAGCAGTCGGCACAGCTGCGGGAAGCGGTTACCTCCCTTGTGCTGATACAACCCGTAGTGCTGCCGTGTGGTAAATGAGATCAGAGAAATGAGCTGGCAGGAAAATTACTTTTTTTTTTTTTTTTTCCTTTTTTTTTTTTTTCAGCTGGGTGAGTTTTCAGCCAGATCAGTTCCCCAGGCCAGTTCATGGTGCAGCTGCACATCTGCTGGTGATGGCATGGCACGACTGCAATACAAAACCAGGCTGGAGGCACAGACGAGGCAGACTACTTTCAAAGGAAAATGCTCAAATGGCTACAGCCTGAACGAGCTCTGGAGCTTCTCCTTCCTAACCGTTAACAAAAGCTGTGTTAGGCAATGTCCGCAGAGATCATGAGGTTTTGCACTGGGGTAGGTCTGCTCTCCTTCCAAATATCTGTCTTTGAATGCTGGCTCCCCCTCCCCAGCGAACATGTGCAAGATGAGCAGATGAGATAAGGAAGTCAGGCAGGAGGACAGATACCAAAGCGCTGGGTGAGACCCACTGCGGCAGCTTCCTGCTGCCAAAATGCTTCCACAAGTGGCGGGGACCATGCAGAGATGCCCAGCTTGGCAAAGCAGGTGTCTGGGCAGGATGCAGGGAAGAAATGTGAAATGGAGGTGCACACAGAGAAGTCAATCTGCAATTTTATTTTATTTTTTTTTAATGATGAAAAGAAGTTGCTGAGGGCTAATGGCATTGGGTGAATAACAGATGGGCAGAATGGGACACGTATCTGTAAACCTCACCAGAGGGATGCTGGATGCTGTGCCATCGTCTATGTGAGCTGTCCTGAGCACACTGAAAGAAAAGTGAGAAATCTTAATTTTCTCACTGTGTGAGAAATGACATCACTATCCTTGTGTCTGAGAAGCTGACTTCATCCCAAATAACATTACTTTACCGGAATCTTTCCAAGCCCTAAGATGGACATTTTTCAGTGAGCCACTTCCTTTCTGCATTTCCCAGTGCACAGCTGACGTGAACAGACACGGCACGTCACAGCCTGGAACAATTTCCAGCCCTGCCGTAGGTCAGCGGCTATGCCATGTCTGCAGAGCAATTTGGCATATTTTGAGTTTAACCCAGCAAATCAGATCAGCTTCTTAAAATGATTTTGTTTTCTGCACTCCAAGAAAAGCAGTGTACTTCAGCTGAAAGAGTGAGAGATTCTTTTCTCAGAAGACTGACTATAATGTGAGCATTTATTGAGAAATTGCATGTGGGAGTCATAAAGCAAACAAAGATCAGTCCTACAGAAAAGCACAACCACACAACAGAAAAGGGTAATTTCAAGTTCATTACCCAAAATGATTGTTGTCTGTATGAAGGGGAATTGTGATATTTAGGATGTCCACTGGAATGTGAAGCATTCTTCAGTTCTGGGAAGAAACATATTTACTTTGCTGATTGATTCAATAATCTGTGCTTTGGGTAACTAGTGAACACTGGCTCCTTCCATTTAAGAGGAACACTCTGAGGCTGTATTTCTCGAACCCGCATATCCTTAAGCCTTTTTGGGGGGCTTTTCACGTTGCCTTGAGGCCAAGACTGTAACTTCTCACCACTGGATTATATCACGATTGGAGTGAAGTAGAGGCAGCACTGCTTATGTCAAAGTACACACTAAAAAGATTTCAAAAAATAACATTGCTGTGGGCAATGCCTACAGAATACGTCTTTTTTTAGGATCACGCAGACTCTGCAAAGGAATATCTTTATACTCCAAATTTACTTGGATCCTATCAGGAGTGAAACCATACAGATCTGGCAGATAGATAACAAAGAGATGAATTGTAAATTCTGCCTGTACAGATCCACCTGTGCTGTGTCTCCTGATATCCTGGAAATCTTCTTTGACCCTGAAACTCCTCACTCGTGTGCTTGCCTTTATGACTTTAGGGCTTGATCTGCTGGAGTCAGGGGGAAGCTTTGCTCCTGATTACAGTGGGGCATGTCTGGGCTCAGCCTGAGCACGGATGGAGCTGAAACTGCAGCTTTTCTCCTGCCTGCTTATCTACACCTTTGGACTGCAGTTTAACTGTGCCAATTTCACCCAACCCCCTGAGTTCACCTCATGCTTTGCTCCATGCTGTCACCTTTGCTCCCTTTGGGATCCCCTTCTTTACCCGAGTCCTAGCTTACCTATTATTGCTCAAGGTAAGAGCAGCTGTGCTGGTTTGGACCCTCTAACCTGTCTATCTCTTCTGCCTTCAACACTGGCAATACGCAGACACCTAGGAAAATGTTAAGAGCAGAATTAACATAACTATCACATCTCCCTTAACACTGCTGCAGCTTCCAGCTATTTTCATCTCAAAGGATTTCCTGAACCTGCTGTGGCATGGACCCCTCCAAACACCCTAGGAGAGCTTGTAAGCTCCTTGCAATTCCTGTGTCCTTTGGAAAGAACTTCCTTGGCAAGTCTACTGCCTGCTGCATGACCAGCCTCTTCCTTTTGTTTGCTTTGGATTCGGCTCCTAGCTCCATTAGCTGGTGCCTCGTTCCTGTCCTGGAGGCACAATGAACACTCAATCCCTCTCCACCCTATGCTATTAACAATTTCATAGCTTTCTGCATGCAGTAACCCCATCTCATCTCCTTTCCAGTTTGAGAAGCCCCAACCTCCTGCATGGTACAGCAATCAGGCTTTTGCTCATCCTGTTACACTCCTCTGAACCTTTCCAACTGCTTTGCTAACCTTTCAGAGGGGCCAGAACTGCACACGGTATTCAAGGAATGGCTGAAAGATGGATTTATATAGAGGCACAGTAATGCTCACTGTTTTGTTGGCTATTCCTTTCCCATATTCCATAACAGTTATTTGTTCTTTGACTGTTACTGAGCATTGATTTGATATTTTCAAGGAAGTGTTTTCAGTAGATCTACCGTGGCCTCCTTCCTGAGTAGTAATTGTGAGCAGAGACTGTTTTATACATGAAGCTGGAGCTGCTTCTCCCTAAGTGCATTCATTGCTTTACATCTGCCTAGGCTGAGTCTCCTTTGCCATTATATAAGCTGCTAACTCTATCTTACAAGGTCCTTCTTGAGTTCTTCACTGCCTGAC